AGTCAATATTACTTTGCCTAAAAATAGACAACCTTGATTTGAGGAAATTAGGCTATTAATAGAGAAATATATTGAAGTTCGTGGTCTTGGAGATTGAAATTAAGGAAAAAAGAAAGTTTTTGCAAAAAAAAAAAAGGAAGAGAAAGCAGAGGAATGAGAGGAAACCATAACAATCTTTATCGGAGGGAAGGATGGAGAAGAGAACAAGGGAGCTCAGAAAGTTAAAATCCTGCGCTATCAGGAATGGGTGGAAGTTTGTTGGTTTTTGGAAGAGAGGATGGTATAAGCTGCGGAGAAATTTCTCGTGTGTGTCGGAAAAAAGCAGAGGAGGAGGAGGAGGAGGAGGAGGAGGAAGCACAACATGCCTTTACCGGAAGCCGAGAAGAGCCAATTCCGACATCTGAACACTTTTTCTGGCATCCTTCCTCCGTGATGTCTGATTGCTGTTCACGACAACAGAGGTTCTAGTAATGGAAGAGAAGATCAAGAAAAAAAAAAAAAAGAAGAAAGGTAGAGAAATATGATAGGTTGTAAAATCTTTTATGGCTGTTTTTGTTTTTTTTTTTTTAATTGAGAATTATGAAAATACAAAAGTTTTTTTTAAAATTATTGATGAAAGTTAAATTCTCAACAAATTGAATCTAAAAATTAAAACTGGGAGGAATTATTGGTTTGAAAACTGTAATATTAAGTAGGAAATTATACAATCTATGATAAAATGTCATTATTATTATTTTTTTCGGTGGAGATTTTGAATTAAAATTTAGATTTGTGATTAGAGTATTGAAAATTTTCAATTAAATTACGTAATTGATGGTATGATACAATATATTTCTATATTTATTTATTGATTTTCTTATAAATTATTTGCATTACCTTTTTCTTTTGAGGGATTTTTGATATTGTAGCTTAGGGATGCTCACATTTCATACTAAATCGTCATTTCCAGAACTGAAAATCCCATACAGATCTTCAAGAAATCATGCAGCTCAAACTCAATCTTAGAAATATATATGTATTGAAGGTTTCTTTTTTATATATATAATCGCCAAAATTTAAGGGTTGAATATTGTTGTTTTTAGTTTTTAGTTTTAATTATTATAATTTGAATGATGATCAAATTGATACAACTAATATTTGAAATTAAAAATTAAAATTGAACTACAAATTTAAGGTTTAATTAAAAAATTAAAATTAATAATTTGTTAAGATAAAAAATTTCAAAAATAATTATCGGGCCGTTAGTTTTTTAATATTATAGTAATTTTCTTATTCAATATTATTAAAATTTGGATAACTAAAAGTCTAAAAATATAAATCAAATGTAACAACCTCGTGGGCATCCAAAAAAAAAAAAGGGAGAGACATGTGGAACAAGAAGGGAATCTAGCATCCATGACAGGCTATATTTAATTGCCTAAATATTTAGTCATGACAGTGGGAACTGCGACGAGTTCACCCAAAAATAAGTGGTATTTTTATGGTTAGATTCACATTTAAACATTGGAATTTGTATATCAATTATTTAAATAATTTAATATAAATAATTTATTAATTTTGGTGAAAAAAATTTAATTTCTTTTAAATAAAATCTAAAATTTAAGTATTGAGTTTGGATTTAAAAATTTCAACGTGAATAAAAAAGTATCAAAAAAGTTTTCTCATAAGTATCCAAAAAGTTTTTCTTCATTAAATTTGACACGATAACTTGATCTAAAATTAGTCAGATTCAATATAACTTCTGAATATTAAAAAGTTAGTATCAAAATAAAATTTAATAATAATTTTTTAATAAAAATAAAATATCTTAAATTTATATTGTATAATATGAGTAACATAAATACTCATATAAATTCAGTGGTGAATGAGTTACTTTATATTATATTTTTTTTGTACTAATCTCTCAGTATTCGATAATTATATTGGATTTCGATTAATTTAGAATCGCGTTATATCGGATTTCATTTGGGAAAAGCTTTCCTTGCGCCTGCTTCTCCATTTACAAGACTTGAATTTGAGAATTAAAGTCTTATTTTTAAAGGAAATTGAAGTCTTTCCACCCATATTAAAAGGTCGTTGATACTACTTTATATTATATAACATAAAAAAAAAAAGTTTTAGAACTTGGAAACATTTAAATTTTCTTTAAGGAACCAAACTGATAGGGAGATCATAGCTTTATTGGCAATAACTTATTGGCATGGAAAAATGTTGTTGAAATGTAAGATTCAAATCATTCTATTGTGATATTGGCACAAATAACTTCAAGAAATCGCACCCATCATTAATAAATGAAAATTTATATTTTATAGCGACTCATAAAATTAGTAAAGCCAAAGTTCGAATATTCATACTGTAAAAAATAAGTTTATTGGCGATGAAAATAATTAACATGGACACCCATTTCATTTTGTTTCAACTTTCAACGCCATATTCTTCTTATGAAAATTTCAAAAGAACTTAATAAAATCATACTTAAATAAGTCAATAATTATCTTTTTTTTAATAACATATCATGAGCTCAATTCGTATTAAATGTAAATGAAATGGGATAAAAAATGACAAATAATTATTTTTATTATGCAAAAAAAAAATCATATTTTATCCCGTCTATAGTACATTATTGAAAAAAGGGTATAATTAACTGCTTATACAGCACCGTTTTAGGCTCTTGACGACGCTGTCTCGTACGGTAAAATATTGTCCCAGAAAAAACCTCGTCTCAAACAGCCTGTCCGATGTTTGTTGTCAAGAATGCTATAGACTGAATTTACATTTAAACCCCCAATCGACCTAACCAGGACCAGCAGTCTTCTTCCCAGATTACAGAATTCTTTAAGGACAATAACGTAATTTAATTATCCAAACATCAGAA